CCACCACCTTCCCTTTGTCCCTACTCACTGCTCACGGAGCACGTCACCTTCATACATGTACTGGGATGCACATTCCAAAAGTGCGGTCTGTCTCACCTTTTGTTTTTGTTTCTTTGTTTTTGTTAATGCTCACCCAAGGGTATTTTGTCCATTGATTTTTCAGAGAGAGTGGAAGGAAGGGGGAGGAGAAACACTGATGTGAGAGAGACACATCCATTGGTTGCCTCCCACACGCACCCCAACCCAGGGCCGGGGATCGAACCTGCCACCAAGGTACGTGCCCTTGACCGGGAATCAGACCTGCAACCCTTCAGTCCGTGGGCCGGTGCTCTAACCACTGAGCCACACCGGCCAGGGCTCTGTCTTACCCGTTAATCAGCTTCCCCTGATTGGGCCTGGAGCCCGTGTTACCTGCAGCAGCAGGTGAGCGAGGAGACCTTTAGAGAGAAGCATCCATCTCATTTGCCAGAACACGGCGATTTCAGATTCAGAGAGTGTTTTCCTCAGACACACACTCCATTCTTTTTCCATTTGGATTCAATTTACAAAAACACTTGTTTTCCGCCAGCGAGGCAGACGTAGCTAGAACTCGACCCTGCCTTTTCTTTCCAGAGGTTCCTGCAGCCAGAGTTTTTGTGAAAGAAAATCATACGGGTCAACCGGGATGGTTGTGCCCTCTCTGACTCCCCATCAGGTCTTATAGGCAGGACCGGGGGGCAGGGGGTTCATCCGACGCTTCCGCTGTGCATCGATCTGTGTGAATACCCTTCGTGTCTCTCGGTGTGTCCCCCTTCAGCCCGATAGGCCCAGAAATGTTTGCTGTCACAGGAATTAAAGGTCACTCAGACACAATGTTGCCGAAACCTTGAAACAACTCCCCTTGCAACATGTATATAGGCTGCGTTTCTTTACAATTGTAACCAACCTCCTAAAACCCTCTTCAGGAAACTGCTATGACATGAATTATAAAGGATTAAGGTGTTGCCACTGAATTGGGGCTCGGTTTGAGCAGCAGGGGCCTGTCTAGGGAAATGTTTATGTGTGTGTTCCGTTGTCCTGGGTCAGTGAAACGACACCAACTTGTCCTTGTTCCTTCCTGTTGAAAATACAGGCCCTGGTACATGTTCATGTGGAGAGAAGTGAGGGTTTGAGGGGCGTCAATCACCATGAGTTAAAGTAGATATTTTATTTATATAAAATATACATATTTGTGTTCAATGATCTATGAGAGAGCTTTTACACTCAGTATTTTCCAGGGCGATTATAAATGTTGGATTTACGACGTTTCTTAATTGTGAATTTGAAGATAAATTTCAAAATGAAATTCTGATGCAGAGGCAAAGATGTACAATTAAAAAGGATCTCTTTTCAACCCATCCCATCCAGCTCCTGGCGTGGCCTGCCGATGTCCCCGAGGCTGTCACTGTCGTCACCATCGCTCCGGACTTCCACGGCGTCCACCACGGGTACATCACCCACCTGAGGAAGTTCACGGCCTACTTCACGTCCGCCCTGTGCTTCACCACTCCCGGGGACGGGCCGCCCAGCACGCCCCAGCTCGTCCGGACTCACGAGGACAGTAAGTGCGCCTCCGCCGTGGGTCTCGGGCTGGGCCACTGCCATGGCCAGCAGGGGTGAGAGCGTCAGGAAACCCATGGCTCAGGGTGTCGGCAGCCCCCTTGCCCCGGGGGACAAGCATTGAAAAGCATCAGTATGATGGGCGGAGGTTGTCCCTGGAGTGTGGAAGGGAGCCCAGCTAAGGAAGGGCTGAGGGCGAGAGACAGACAGACAGACATGACCCACCAGGTGCTCAGCCTTGGCCCTGCTGCCCTTCTCTTCCCCCAGGCTTCACCTTCCAGCCCCTCACCTGCTTCTCGAGCCCACAGCCCTGCCTCCCCGACCCTCGCAGGACATTTCCCCTGTGCACCCAGCCCTTGATTTTCCATTCTCTCCACCTGATCGATCAGACCAGCTGCTCTCGGGCCAGCGACACTCCCGGGACACGGTCTCTGATGACTCTGTTCCAAGACATGAGCCTGGGGTGTGCAGACGCGTTCACAGGAAGGTGCATAGTTGTCAGTAACGGGAAAACTGTCCCAGTGCCCCAAAGGGGATAACTGAAAAATTATGGGATGACAGAATACGAAGTGTGCTGTAGAGATTGAAAATGTTTTGAGCCCAGCCAGCGTGGCTCAGTGGCTGCACATTGACCTGGGATCCAGGAGATCACGGTTCGATTCCCGGTCAGGGCACATGTCTGCATTGCAGGATCGATCCCCAGCGGGGGGCGTGCAGGAGGCAGCCGATCAATGACTCATCACTGACGTTTCCATCTCTCTCTTTCTCTCCCTTCCTCTCTGAAATCAATGAAGATATATTTTTTAAAAATGTGTTTCGAGAAAGCTGATCGTGATCTAATACTAAGTGAAAAACAAAATAGTAAACGAAACCACCCGAGACCCAGACTTGATAGAAACACGTGTGTGAAATGACTGAGCTGAGCAAAGACCTTGAAGGAACCGTCGCCGTTTCGACAGTTGCTCTCTGTGGTGTGACTACGGGCACGCCTCGCACTTCTCATATTCTTACACATAAGAATCTCGTTTCCACAGCGAGCATGTACTTGCCTTATAGGGAGAATTAAAACTAGTGTAAGTTTTCTTTAAAGGTCACGCAGGGCTGCCGCTGTTTGTCCCCCGGCGTCCCACTCCCTCGGCCTCCCAGCTTCACTCACCCCTCAGCAGGGGACCGAGGGCGAGGCCACCCCTGGTGACACAGGACGAACAGACATGGATTTCCCGTCCCTCTGAGACCACTGACTGCCCTCCCATAAAAAAGACAAAATAAAAACTACCCCGGCCCTGTTAACCGAAGGTCCTCCGAGCTCTGCCTGTGGCCTGCTGTCTGCCTGTCATCCCCTGAGATTTTAACTCAGATCATTACAGACCCACATGCAGTGTGAGAACTAATCCCGAGACCCCACGTCTTTGCCCAGTTTCCCCCGATGGTAACGTTGAGACTCCTCCGGTCTCACTCGTGCTCGTGTGTGTGCCTGTGACTGCATGTGTGTGCGTGTGCGTGCCTGTGTGCACACCTGCGTGTGCGTGTGCTCTGAACAGTTTATCGCATGTGCAGATCTCTGTACCCTCCGCCATGAAGACTCGGAGTGGTTTCATCGGCACACAGCTTCCTCCTCCACAGCCACACCCGGCTCACTCCCTCTTCTCCTCACCTGCGTGCCTGTCATTTCCCTTCCTCGCCTGGTTCTTGATCTCAGCGGGAAAGAATTCCGTCTTTCACTGTGGGGTGTGATGTTTTCACCTCTGTTCTTTATCAGGCAGGGTCAGCTCTCCTCTGTTACTCACTTGCTAAGAGCTTCTATCACGGATACATGTTGGTTTTTATCAGTTGCTTTTACTGTTTCCATTGAGATGATCATGTCATTTCTCTCTCTGGCTTGTTGACTGATATGGTTGATTGAACCAGCCTTGCATGCTTGGACTCAACCCCACTCAGTCATGGTGTATAATTATTTATTACGTTCCTGGATTCAGTTTGCTGATGCTTTTTGGAGGATGGTCTGCATCTAAGCTTATGAGAGAGAGTGGTCTATACCTCTGCTCTCCTGGACTGACTTTGCCTGGCTTTGGCATCTGTGGATTGCTGGCCTCATAAAACGAGTTTGGATGTGCTCCACCCTCTCCTATTTTCTGGAAGAGATTGCGTAAAATTGGGGTTAATTCGTCTTTAAATGTTTGGTAGAGTTTTCCAGTGAAATCCAGTGGGCCTGGAGATTTCCTTGGGGGAAGCTTTTTAATTATAATGTAATTTCTCTAAGGGTTATAGTATGGTTCAGTTGTCTATTCTATCTTGGTTGAGTTTTGGTAGTTTGTGATTTTCAAGGAATCCTCCAAGTTGTTGAATTTGTGAATGTAAAGCTGTTGGTAATACTTTCTCCCTGGTTGTCTTAATGGCTGAGGGATATATATATTCATATTCCCTGTTTCATTCCTGATACTGGGAATCTGTTTCTTCTGGGTTTTTTGTTTGTTTGTCATTTGTCCTAGAGATTTATCAATTTTATTGATATTTTTGGGAGAACCAGGTTTTGGGGGGTTTTTATGTCTTTATTGATTTCAGAGAGAGAGACAGACAGAAACATCAGTGATGAGAGAGAGTCATTGATCGGCTGCCTCCTGCACGGCGCCTGCTGGGCATCAAGCCCAAAACCCAGGCCTGTGCCCTGACCAGAACCGAACCTCGATCTCCTGTATCCTAGGTCAATGCTCAACCACTAAGCTACGCCCAGACGGGCAGAACCAGGTTTTTATTTCATTGATATTTCTCTATTGTTTTCCTATTTTCAGTTTCATTAATTTCTGCTCTTATTATTTTCTTCCTTCCGCTTCCTTTGGGTTTATTTTGCTCTTCTTTCTTTAATTTCTTGAAGTAAGCACTGAGATTATTTATTTGAAGCTGTCTTCATTTCTATTGTGAGCATTTAGTGCTATAAATCTTCCTTTTCATACTGCTTTAGCTGCATCCCACATATTTTTATATTTTGTGCTTCATTTTCATTCAATTATTTATGTTTTTATTTACTCTTAGACTTCTCTTTGATCCAGGGATTAGTTAGAAGTGTGCCATTTAATTTCCATGTGTTTGAGATTTTCCTGTTGTCTTTCTCCTGTTGACCTCTAGCTTGATTGTGTTATGCTCAAAGAACACACTTTGTATAATTCCAATTCTTTTAATTTATTGTAGTTAGTTTCATGGCCTAGGATACAGTCAATCTTGGTGAATGTTTCACGGGTCTTGAAAGAAGTAATGTGTATTCTGCAGCAGAATCTGCGTATCAGCCATAAACTTTGTATGCCCTTCATCAGAATTTAGGGTTAAAGGGGAAGCTTGAACAAGTTTAGCCTTTTCCTTTAACAACAACGCTGTAGCTATTTTAGGAAGCCTGTGCCTGTGGGGCCTGTCATGATTACAGGGCGATTGCTTTATCCTACAAACGTGTGTGTGCTTACACCCAGACGTTTGTAGAATGCCTGTTACTTGGCCATCCAGCTGGGTGGTGAAGGGGTTGCAGAGATCAGTAAGCACAGGCTCTTCCCTTAGAGAGGCGGACATGACTGAGGTCTGTGCCACCGAGGAAGGGGACCTGTATACGTGGCTGTGGTAGCCCAGTGAAGTGACAGAAAGCACCTGGGGGAGGCAGGTGAAGGAATCTAGTAGAAGAGATGACAGTTGAACTCAACCGCAATGCATGAGCTTTTCATGCAGAGAATGGGGGAGGACATCCTGGTAGAAGAAGAATCCACAGAGCAAAGCGAGAGGTAGAGCGTGTGAGACAGTGCGAGGTGGGGTGACAGCAGGAGCCTGGGTGACAGGCTGGGGCTGACCCAGAAGAGTGCCCACTAAGTCACGAGGAAGCAGCATATGAATTGAAGCCCAGACCTGCCAGCTCATCCCAGCAGCATAGGGACAGAAACTCAGGCAGGAATCCAGGAGCAGAAACACCAAGACTATATGAAAGGAGCAAAAAGCTTTCTTAGCTGCTCAGTCGGCTGATGGAAGGACGAGTCCATTCAGAAGCCTGTCAGCTCGTCTCTGGAAACAGAGCTGGGAGGAGAGATGTTCCTGACGGCCACTCGACTCCGCTTCCCGCACCCGCCAAGAGTGAAATTTGTCAGAGAAAAGAGTCTTTTCCAAGTTTCACGCAGACAAGTGTCTTTGCCTTGGCTGTTACTGTTATTTAAACATCACAAGCCTGTTTGGAAGCTGTCCGGGTGCTGGGGGGAGCCAGGTGT